ATAGCACATTATGCACGAATCAAACAAGATAGTAATAATTTTAAGTAATTAATGTACCGCACACTAGAGGGATTGTTTTACCCAACCACGTACATAGACCAATGAAGACCGCTGTATACTAAACCAGTCCTCTTTTTTTTTTCTTTAGGTTGGCGGGAAAGGTAGATGTACTCTTGCATACTTGTGACGCCACGGGCTCATAAAGAAATCTTATTTTCAGACGGGTGGGACCCTGCCGGACTTTTCTACTGTCTAACATTTAAATAAACAAAAGACCGATCATGGTCGGGCAGTCACGTACACCAGACAGCAAACTAGTCCTCTGGTACCTTTCGTAAGGGAGAAGTTAGACACAGGGCTGGGGTATACCGGAAGAGAAGAATTTCCAAGACTAGCTGTCCTTCTTTTCAATACTAAAACGATTGGCTTGAGATACCTCTTGTTGTTTTGTTTTGGTGGGAGTCAGTATTAACTCTAGAATTATTGATAGATCATTATATTTCAAACAAATTCTTATCAACTATTTATGCATCAAATTGCAGTGACTCTGTTGTTTATAAGTTACACAAAAAATATAACTATCCTAATAACATACGAGTCATGCAAAAATGTAACTTCCCTAATAACATATGAGTCATACAAAAATGTAACTATCCTAATAACATATGAGTCATACAAAAATGTAACTATCCTAATAACATATCAGTCACACAAAAAATTAACTATCCTAATAACATATCAGTCACACACAAAATGTAACTATCCTAATAACATACGATTCACACAAAAATTTTAACTATCCTAATAACATATCAGTCACACACAAAATGTAACTATTCTAATAACATATCAGTCACCACAAAATGCAACTATCCTAGTAACATATGAGTCACACAAAATGTAACTAAAATAGTTCAAATATTAATCCTGCTCATTACTGCTGTTCCTCACGGTGGGTCAGCGGTAAATTTACAAACTTACAACTTTAAAACCTGGGGTTCGATTCCCCGCGGTGAAAATAATCGACATAATTTCTGTTGTGTATTTAACGTTACCAATAAATTACAACACCCAGGTTTTTGGTTAGTTCCATACACTCTGTCTTTCAGCAAACAAAAACATAAAATTCTCAAGTACGATTCAACTTATCGTAGTGAACGGTGTAAGAACAAGTCAATAAAGAGGGTTAAAACAATTACAATGATGAATTTGATGCGGCTTTATAAAGTAGGGTTCGAAATCAAACCATGTTTGGATCTTCATCCCATATTTCGTTTACTGAAACGAACCTTTCTCAGCTTCTGTTTGAGATCAGAAAGTCGAGAAAAATAAAACAAACGTATTCTTTCACTAAACGTCTCAATGAAATTACCTTATTTCGCAAGTCCAAGGTTCCGCCCACGATACCGCTGGACACAGTTCGCACTTCAGCAGTGAATGCGTTATATAAGTTACAATGAATCTCATTATTTTGTCCAGGGCCCTGACAAAGCGGGTACTGTTGACAAAGTGTCTGTCCTTCCTTTGGTCAGTAGTTCGAAATTACCGACCGTTAAACCAAAACCTTCAGATCTCCTCCTGAACTGAAAATTTAGCCCACATGCCTACAAGATGCTGTTCAAGTTGAAAATACCAATACTAGTAGCAGAAAAACTTCATAAAATCAAAACCGACTAACACTGGAAAATGGCTTCTATTACTTTGAAAAAATGTAACTTTTACTGGAGTTTTCGAATTAATTGAAATCGTTAAACAACGGCGTGATTAGTTTCATCCTTTTAATTCTTTGTTAGCAAACAAGTGAAATCCTCATGTTTTTAGTAAACGTTTATGTTTTAACTCCAAAAAGTTGATAAATTCTTCAAAAGATATAATTGATAATGAAGATGTATTTTGAGGTTTCCTGGAGCATATGATATGGATCATAATTTTAGGAGTTTACTTGACTGTTAAGAGTGAAAACGTTTATGTGAGACAAGGGGGTTAACTGTTAATAGTAAAAACGTTTATGTGAGACAAGGGGAGTTAACTGTTAATAGTAAGAACGTATATGTGAGACAAGGGGAGTTAACTGTTAATAGTAAAAACGTTTATGTGAGACAAGGGGAGTTAACTGTTAATAGTAAAAACGTTTATGTGAGACAAGGGGAGTTAACTGTTAATAGTAAAAACGTTTATGTGAGACAAGGGGAGTTAGACTTCAAATTACTGTATGGGGCAACAACCATTTGGCAGTGTAGGAACTCAAAAATGTAAAATAAAAATAAAAACCATTGGTGGAAACTGGCTTAATCTATAGGATGTAGTCAGAAAATACGTTTTTCTAGCAAGGTCATAGAATAACTGCAAATGTTGTTTGAAAGACGAGCATGTATTAAATATATAACGTGTAATTGAAACGAGTTAGTAACAAACTAGAGCTTTCTTTACTTCCTCATAGATAAAACTCCATTCATTTGGTCAATAACAGATTTTTCTTTTTCTCTTTTTGTCGCATTACGTTTCTTACATAACTTAATAACAAGTATTCTTATATATATATATAAAGCAGAGTTAATTGTCCATATGTCTGTCTGGTTGTGTAGAACTAGTTGAAAAAATTGCGATGACATTTGGTGACACGTGGACCTCCTAAACATTGAATTTAAATTAAATGGATATGCAATCGGACGAACGGTTCGAGTTTGGCAACCATTTCAACTTTTTTGCCCTAATTCCGAAAATAAGGGCTGACACAAGTGAGAAGGGCGCTAGAATAAATATGCGAAACCTTCTCCAAATGGATGTGCCGTTTAATGACGGGTACTTTCGTGTGCTACGGCTCAAAATAGTGGAAGCACTACTTTTTTAAGCGGCATTACCGGGTAAATTTCCTAGTATGTTACATATGATACATTCTTATTAATAAACGTGTTACTTTTTACAATGTACTGCAATCTTTGACAAGTAGCGAAAAAATCATTTTATTTCAAATTAGATTAAATTCTCCTAAACTAATCTATACGCAGTCTTACCAGATTGCATCTGTTTCAGTGATCAGTACCATATGTTCCTTCCTTTACTCTTCTCTACTTATTGTACCTTTGTAGAATATACGTAATCCATTGTTCACGTGGTGTTTCAGTGATCAGTACCATATGTTCCTTCCTTTACTCTTCTCTACTTATTGTACCTTTGTAGAATATACGTAATCCA